CCATTCATTCATTGTTGCACCCTTCTCCCCACCCCCCCCAGTTTGCTCCTCTCCTTCAAAAGCAAAAGAAAAACTCTCTCATTGGTACGCAATCCCCCCCACATATCCCCCAACCCCAAATATAATCCACTCTGCAACCCTCATTCCATACTCATACGATAAACATAATGCCCTAAAATATAATACTTTTAAAATATTCTCTCCCCAAAAGACTTCAATGCCGTAAACATGTTTCATCCCTATGCGCATGCTGTCTTAACGACCACTGCATTGTAGTAGGATTTGAAATCAGGGAGTGAGATGCCTTGTACCTGTCTTCTATTTTTAAGGAATTCTTATTCGGGGCTTCTTTCCATTCCAAATGAAACCGAGATTGCCTTTTCCATCTCGTTGAAGAATAGACTTGGTATTTGTACTGGTATTGCATTAAAGTGTAAATTGCCTTTGGTAGTATTGCCATTTTTATAATATTGAGTCTTCCTATTCATGAGCAAGGGATATTCTTCCACTTCTCCAGGTCTCTTTTTGGTTTATTGTAGTAATGTTTTGTAATTTTCTTTGAATAGTACTTTGTGCTTCTGGTTAAATTTACTCCCAAGTCTTTAATCTTGTGATTAGCTATTGTGAATTGTATTGTTTTTCTTAGATGCGACTCTGTATTCTCTTTGTCACTGTAGAGAAATCCAGTTGATTTTTGTATATTGGTCTTATATTCTGCCAATTTACTGAATTGGTCAACTACGTTCAGTAGTTTTCTTGCTGATTCTTTAGGGTTTTCTAAGTATACCGCCATATCATCTGCATTGAGAGATTATTTTACCTTCTCTTTGCCAATTTGGATACCTCTTATTTTCTTCTCTTGCCTTATTACTATCGCTAAGACTTCCAATACAATATTGAATAGGAAAGGTGATAGTGGGCATCCTTGCCAATTCCTATTCTCAAGGGGAATGCCTTTCATCTTTCTCCTTTGAGAACAGTATTGGCTCTCTGGTTTGTTGAAGAAAGTCCTCTCTAATCTATTTTGAGTTTTTTAATCAGGGGAAGGTGTTCATTTTGTCAAAGGCCTTTTTTTCATCAATAGATAGAATCATGTGGTTCTTGTTCTTTGCTTTGTTAATGTGATGAATTACATGTTTTTCTTATGCTGCATACCTGCTGTGAATCCCCCTTGATCATGGTGAATTATTTCTTTGCTGTATTGTTGGATTCTATTGGTCAGTATTTTATTCAGGATTTTTTAATCTATGTTCATGAGAGATATTTGGACTGTAGTTTTCTGTTTTGGTGGTGTTCTTTTCTGGCTTTGGTATCAAGAATATGTTTGCTTCATTGAATGAGTCTGGGAGAATTCCATCTTTTTCTATTTTCTGAAATAGTTTTTGTAGAATTGGTGAGAGTTCTTGTCTGAATGTTTGATAAAATTTACTTGTAAAACCATCTAGTCCAAC